GACAGACTTAGACTTGTTGGCTTGGGCCTTTCTGCTTGTCATGGGGACTGGGGAATTGTGATACCTCTTTTTGCTTCTGCCTTTTCTTTCATAAAAGACAATCAAAGAGGAGGAAAAAAGGAGAAAAAGGGAGGCAGGAAGGAAGAGAAGAAAAACTGCAAACTAATACCTTTTTGGAAGGAAGTATGGAGAATCCTCAAAGAACTCAAACTAGACCTTCCATTTAATCCTGCAATCCCATTACTGGGCATCTACCCAGAAGGAAAAAAATCCTTTTATCATAAGGACATTTGCACCAGACTGTTTATCACAGCTCATTTTAGTGTCCAAAATGTGGAAACAACCTAAATGCCCACTGATCCAGGAATGGATTAACAACCTGTGGTATATGTATACCATGGAATATTATTCAGCCACTAAAAAAGATGGAGATTGTACTTTTGTACTAACCTAGATGGAGGTGGAACACATTCTTCTTAGTAAAGCATCACAAGAATGGAGAAGCAATAATCCAATGTACTCGATTTTGATATAAGGACAATTGATGACCTAGTACCCAATGGGGGGGCGGGAGAATGGGGGAGCAGAGAGAGAGAAGGAGGGACGGGGTGGAGGGGTCACAGTGTTTGGCACACCTCTTGGGAGAGGAACACATTTATAAGAGGGACCTTGCCTGACAAGTGCAATTAGTATAACCTGGATCTTTGTAACCTTAATGAATCCCCAACCAAAAATAAATAAATAAATAAAAATAAAAAATAAATTGAGGCAAGAACAAAATTATGGAATATAAAAACAAAGAAAAAGGAGATTATTGTAAAGATTGGGACTGATGATATTTCATTAAATTGTAGGAACATGAACAATTTTGGTAAGTTCTGGAAATTCAAAGAATGAAATAAGATTCAGTTTCTAGCTTCAGAAAGCACCTAGTCTAGCAGGAAGACAGACATAAGCAACTAGCAGAAAGTAAAGCATTGGGCTGTTTATGATGGAGGCGCGTTGTCGGGTCAGCAGCCCTAGGAGACCAGGGGATCAGTGAGACATTTTGTGAGCAGGAGGATAAGGTGGAGACACCTGGGCTGAATGCCGGGCTGATTAGGGAAATTCATTCCTCCTAAAGACCTCTCACATGGAAGGTCATTATTCATCTACAGCAGGGTCTTTCAGCCTTTTTTATCTCACAGCACACTCGAATGTATGTTTATGCTTCCGTGGCACACTTGAATTATGTTGGTCAAAAAAACCAAACAGTAAAAAACAGAATATACTTACTGTGCTTTGAACTTCTTTGAAAAAAATAATTTAATTAATGATCTTTAGCCTGTGAATCCATGCTTGGTGAGTTCTTATCTGTGCATTGTCAAAAATCCTATGGATTTTTCCACCATGAGGGAGGTACACCAGCTCAGAGGAGTTTGCAGCTGATGCCCTCCTGGTGTTTGACAACTAACAGACTTTCAAAGAGGATGACTCTGAAGTGGGCAAAGCTGGGCACAACATGTGCTGCTGCTTTAAGGGCCACTGGGAGAAGTTTTATCAGGGAAAACAGGCCAATCTGTGAAGCAAGGGAGGTGGGGACTCACCTTGTCGCATCTCCCCCCACGTCTTAACATAAACCCTGCCATTCTCACTTGCTGATGCTGTCAAGTCAGAGATCACCCTGATTTTTGACCTTGCCCTTGGCAGTGCCCCACATCCTCTTATCCCTATACCCTTTTCTCCCTTTTTTCCTCTTGTTCCTCAAATAAGAAGCACAGAGATGAGGTCCTTCTGGACTGAAAGCCAAAAAAAGAAAGAAAAAAAGTTAAAAAAAATTTTTATGGCATACCAGTGTGCTGTGGCACACCAATTGCTAGAGGCTGATCTAGTGGCTTATTACAGATTACTGTCCTGTTCTATATTTTTTACCATTGTTGTAGATAGAATTATGCATGTTGGCTTTGGTGGTGAATGGTAGCCTCTGAGAGATTATATTAGATGACAATATTAAGATTTAAAAAAAAAATCTTAATGTTTTAAATCAGGCTGAAATAATGAAGTTTTCGTATTTGAATTGAAAATAATCCTAATAGGCTCGGCGCCTGTGGCTCAAGCGGCTAAGGCACCAGCCACATACACCTAAGGTGGCGGGTTCGAATCCC